ATTCCCCGGAATCGGATGATGTGTCAACTGTGTTTAGAGATGAATGATCCAGAAGATCATTGCCTGCCAATCAAAAGACGATAAAGATGTATACATATTTTTCTTGCAATCACTAGATGAATGACAAACATAACCAAGATTTCTTACTGTTCTTATGTGATTGGAGAAACTCTTGAAGCTCTTGGTTTTCTAACACCACGTTCCACACCTTTGTGTCATGAACAATTGAAGCGACAACATTCTAGCACAAAAATAGATTCAGCTATCATAATCCCAAATTTATGGTTGGTACCGACTAAGCTACAGCATTAATGAAATTATACGTATCTTTTGTTGCACAAAAATTTCATGTGCTTTGAATGCTAAATGTTGAAACTAGTGCGTGTTTGGATTGGCTTAATCTATAATTTAAGTTGGTGAAACTTTAATTTTATCCTGACATTCCATAAAACCCGCTACTACTCCAAACTTGCATATAGTATTCGACTTTGCATTCAAAATAAATTAACAAATTATATATTCCACGTCCATGCACATTGAGAAAATAAAACAATTTCATATATATTCAATTAGAAAAATGCACACCAGCCAAGAATAGAACGAGAGATATCAACGGGAAAACCTGAACTCTAGAGCTTTCGTTTAGAAGCCTAAATGCCTGAATATCATGCATCGGCTTTCCAGAAACTGGTGTAGATCGATTGGTAACACAGGCTTTATTCTCCAATACTTGTGAGTCTAACAGCACCAATGAGCGTGGGTGATGATCTTCTATGAGCAAACCGTCAAATCCAACAGACTCAGGTGAAGATAAATACACCATGAAAATTCAAGAAACAAATACAGCGAAACTATCAAACGAACATTTGCATGCAGAAACAAAAAGATAATCAAAAGCAGGACAGAATCACATCCTGCCAGAGCCAAGCTTTTCTTTAGCAATGGCTAGAGTTTCACAAGCAATAATTAGGAAAGTTGGATCCTAGGTCCTCAACTTGAGGTAATAATTTGAAAGCACACAAATGGACTAATAATGACTCCGTTACTTGCTTATTATTTAAACAAAAACATTATATCATAATGTATAAGTGACATAATATTATCGAAGAGTTGAAAAACAGGTTTTTCGATCCTTCACTCATGAAATTTCACGTGTACATTATGGACATCTTTATGAATTAGTATATATAGAATTATCCAATATTTAATTTGATTTCTCATTTAGATATTTCTTTATTAATTACTTTAATTGGTTATGTATATTTAATTACTTTATTCAATTATTTATTTTAAAACTTATTCAAATAAAAAATTAATGTTTAATTTAATTTCTTCTTTGAATATTTCATTAATTAATTATCTTAATTGGTTATGTATATTGTTTATTTAATATTTCATTACTTTATTTAATTATTTATTTAATCACTTATTCGAATAGAAAATTAATATTTAATTTAATTTAATTATTTTATATTTAATTAGAATATAAATCACATGGTGCATGAAAATATCACAATGTACATAAAAGAAATGGTGACATTTTAAATTATTACAACTACGAATCACAGTGTACATAAAAGAAAGCTCACATTTAAAAAAATGCTTAAATTTTAATGTGTGTTTAGTTTATCAGTTCTACGCCACGTCCGATGCTAAAAATTCAATATACTTCAATTTGATTCGAATTTGATTCGAATCCGACGAAATTAATGGGAGATGAATTTAGGGTCTTAATCTGATAACCCAATCAAGATTCGAATCCAATAATCCGTTAATTAAATGAATCAAATATGGATATAGATCGATCCTATCCGATATCACTAAAACATTCTCAAAGGAGTTTCTTTTGGAAATGAGTTAAAGAAACATCACTTAGATGATGATGATGATGATGATAATAATAATAATAAGATTTGGGTCTTCTAATATAATAAGTGAGCCCATCAATATAGTTCGAATATTTTTTAAAATAAATAAATAATTAAAATCTTGTCGAGGCTATGATTTTCAATGAAATTTTTCTAATTTTTCAATTTCGGATCGGATATCCGATAACATAGTTAATCAAATATGAATTTAACATTTAAATATTCGTCGGATTATTGGATCGGATGGGATAGGATAATTATTCTTAACGGATCGAATCGGATTTGAGCAGATCCGATCCATTTATCTAATTCATTTCGTCCCCTCCACCAACACCTCTCCCATCCACATCCATAACGATTCTAATGAAACATATGTGTACATCCCTAGCCCTTCATCGCTACCCACCCTGTCACCATCTCCGCCACCCTCTCTTCTGTCACTGTTTGGGACCTCATCGCCTGCCTACTGTATCTCCTCGAATATGACTCTGACCCTCCTTCTCAATCAACAGTGTCAACTCAGTGAGCACTTTAAGCTGACATATTAACATTTTACTGAGTTAATAACCATGCATCGAGTTTTCAAAATGACATACAACATAAAATCACAAATGAATATACGTACCTCAGAATCGTCGAGGAGAGCTGATAACTGTCAGCTCTGTCCCCATGGATAGTTGTTGAATATATCAATGTCATCAACAACCTCCAAATGAAATACGTCGATTGACGTCTTCTTGTGATGACACTTCAGTATGCTCTCTACAATATAAACATCATCCCTAGCTTCAACTTGTCAAACATATTGTCGCATTCCTTGAATATGTCTCCTAATTGTGCCATTGTTATTTTACTTAATTAAATTGTTTATCTAATATTTAATTGTTAATTAATGATTTAAATTGTTCATTTAAATTATTTATTCGGTATTTAAATGTGTATTTAAATTATTTATTTTAATTTTTTAGTTGTTTATTAAATATTTATTTTAATTGTTAATTGAATGTTTAATTATTTGTTTTAAATGTTAATTATTTGTTTCAATTGTTTATTTAATATTTAATTACTTATTTTTATTATTTATATTTATGGTTCATTTAAATTATTTATCTATTACTTAAATGTTAATTATTTATTTAAATTACTTCTTATTTATTATTTATATTTATTGTTCATTTAAATTGTTTATTTAATAGTTAAATGCTAATTATTTATTTAATATTTAATTACTTATTTAAACTATTTTTTATTAATTATGTTTATTTGTTATTTATGTTAAGTAATCATTTTTATTGCTTAATTAATATTTAATTTATTTCTTTATTGAATTTATTTCAATTAGTTATTTATCATTTCAATTAGTTTCTTATTTAGTTATTGTTATTATTTACTTAAATAAAAAATATACATAAATAATTAACATAATTCATGAAATATTTAAATAAACAAATAATATACATAAACAATTAAATTAAATATTGATTTATTAAATTATTTATTTAATATTTAATTTATTTTTCATTTAAATATTTCACTAATTATTTTAATTGGTTATGTATATTGTTTATTTAATATTTAATTACTCTATTTAATTACTTATTTTAATTGTTTATTTCATATTTATTTACTTCATTTAATTATTTATTTTAATTTCTTATTTATTTTAATTGTTTATTGAATATTCAATTGTTTATTACATTTATTTTTTATTTATATTATTTATTTTTTAAATAAAATGCAATAAAAAATAATTAATTATTTTACTTAAATAAACAATTTACATAATTCATGAAATATTTATAAACAATTAAATTCAATATTTAAAAAAAATAGCTGGCACAGGCCAATCGAAATGGCCCAGACATTTGGGATCCGGACGACCCAGATGTCGAGATCTAGACGACTGGATCCAGATGTCTGGCTGGTCTGGATCCATACGGTGACATCGTTGTCTGAATCGTCTGAAATCTCCATTTCCACGAGCTCTTTCCCATTTTTTCACTTTTCTTAATCAACTCAACCTCTAATTCGACTTTTCCTTCTATTTTAACTATAAAAATTTGTATTAAACTCATAATTTAACATATTCAAATATTAAACATTCAAATTTTTATGTATTAAACTCAAACATTCAAATTCCCACATATGTTAGGTCTCAATGGTGAGTAAATTACAAAGAAACAAATCTAATCTTTGAGAAATGACGATCTCGAGCAAATGGTTGAAATGGGTTCGATCTGAGCGGTCTGTAGGTGGTGTTGGTGATTTTCTTTTTTTAGTTTTCTCTTTCTTTCTCCTCTTCTCTTCTCTTTATTTGGGGGTATTTTCGACATTTGGGTATTGTTTACATTTTCAGTTTTTTTTTCTTTTTAATGAAATTTTTTTTGTCAAAGGCCATTTTAGAAAAATGGCAAAGTCAGACAGCTATCTGTCACCATTTCCCCCCTTAACGAGTAATATATATATATATAAAGAATATTGACATAAATAAATTTTTTCTCCATTTAGCTATTATTACTTATTCCACGTGTTACGAATATTAATCTCTTTACGAAACGGTGTCACGTCATCGACAGTCTGAGTGACCCCAATGTAATGTCAGGCCAAGTTAAAAATCCTGGCTATGCATCTGATTCTCTCTTGAGAAAGTTTCGATTCAAGATAAAGTTAGAAGATAATACGTATAACTTGCAATTAAGAAAGTGTGACTAATTAGTAATGAAAGATCGCGGGATAGTAGATAAGAATGTATAATGATGTTAAATAAAGAAATAATCTATCAAGCTAGTATTTAGTATAAGTTGAGCAATAATAACATGACTATCAATTCAATAAATCTAAATTAATTATTGAGATCTACGACAAATTTATTCACCAATTAATTAATGTTGTGTATCACAATTGTTTAATAGAAATTAAAAACTATTGCCTAGTAAATCTATCCTCGTGTCAAAAGTGAAATGTTATATGTTAACTCTTTTTGTACGTCTCCGTTTGGCGGTTGTTCCACTTGTTTTTTATACTACTAGTAAGGTGTAAAGATGAAGACACAAAATGAACAAAATCTTTCATGTATTTGTGTAAGCGTGTGTAATAGGAACCCACTGAATGAAAGAAATTCTGAAGAAAAGATGAACACCACAAAATTACTTGGTTCTTATTAAAAAGCAAATGCAACAACTCACAAAAAGACAAGCAGATAAGCTCCTGATGTCTTGCAATTCAAGAGCGATTGCTAATTTAAGAGTTTGTGATACATGGAAGCATCGAAAGTTTGACGAATATGTAAAACTTGAAGAGAGATTATTTAATACGTTTCATCAAAATCATCATTATCACCGAGACTACCAATGCAGTGATCAATTTTTCCAAATTATTTGAAGAGTCAAATCTTGTATTTCCATCATCATTTTGAGGCATTCGATCAGGTCCAATTAAATTCTCGAACGATACAGACCAATGGACCATCCAATCCATCACGTCCACCACAATCCCCTTCATCGTCCACAAAAAATTTGTAATCGACTCACGCAAAAAATTTTTAATCGACTCAAATGAGGTATCATTATGGACTGTAGCCAGAGACGGCTGATAGAGAATACTAGTAGCTGCCAAAAGCAACACGTAAAGAATTACATGCATATCTTGTACAGAAGCATGGGATGACCAAATACATAATCGAATTTCTTACCGAGGCTCCTGCGTGATTGGAACAAATTCTGAAAGTCTTGGTTTTGTCTCACAGCATTCCACACATTTGGATCAGCAACAATAGAAGAAACAACATTCTAGCACAAGAAGTTAACATAATAAAATATATTGTTTCCAGTAATTCTCAAAAGTACGAGGTGTCTTAAAATCTCAAACATTTTTTGTAGTGACCTGAACTTCTATGTTCAAATCTTTTAGCTTATGAGAGATTTAAATTAAACTCTATTATCAATTGAATAACTTAGCCAATTTGTACCAAAATTTAACTTAAGTCTCTTATGAGACAGATGCCAGATTTTAATTTAAGTCAATATCAACAATTAATTTTAAAACACATATTGTATGGGATTCACAACTTTTCACCAATACATTTCATCAATTTTTATTAAAATTTACTAAAAAAAATGACTTTAATACCCACTAAATATGGGCTAAGAAGATGGGCGTCCAATGATACTCTTGAGAGTGACCTTGGGGATAAAGCAATTCTAAGTGGACTATGGTGAAGCACGGACTTAGCTTTCCGTTGATTTATTGACAAGTTCTCAAAAACTGTAGGAGTACGGATATCTATGATAAGTATGATATAATAGACTCTTTCGAAATAGACAATAAGTTCTCAAAGACTCTAGACTCTATCGAAACAGACAATAAATATGATATAATACTTGAACAGAGATGTGAGATTACTACACTTAGAGTATTCTTTTATAGAGCCATTTTCCATGGAATTTTTCTATTTTCCACCCAATTTCTCGTTTGATTCCCAAAATTTTTCAGGTAATACATTTTCCACTTCTCCCTCACGTGGCATCATTTTATTAGTTTTGAAGGGATTCAAATTCCTTGGGTTTTGATGAGAAAACGGGGTTTTCAGCCTTTATTTATTTATGGCAATGGAAACAAATTCTATTCACAATTGTTAAAAAAAAAAAAAAAATCTATATATTTAATCGACAATTTTCATGAAAAACAAAGTCAAATGAACATCAAAAGATCCAAAATTTCCAAATTTTCCAACTACAAATCAAACACATTTAATTGACAATTCCCAGTAAAACAAGTTTTAGGCAATTTAACTCTCTGGAATTCTTTTTTTTTTTTCTACCCAAATTTCATTCTTGCAATCAAACGGACCCTTAGTATAAGTACCTATTCTATTCGAACTTTCTAGGCAAAACGAGAGATGTCAGCAGAAAAACCTGAACTTGTGGGCTTTCATTTAGAAGATTAAATGCTTGAATAGCAGCCGTAGGCAAATGTAAGTTTGACTGCAGCAGTGAGTTTGGATGTTGATCTCCTACTGCCATGTCCTCATGTCGATCAGAATTAGATGAAGCTAGAAATCTGAAAATTTAAGAAAGAACCCTTGAAAGTTCCAAATAATAAATACATAATCACTTATTCACATCCTCTCAGAACCAAGGCTTGACTAATTTATTCGCAAGAATGGACTAAAGGGAGATGAAATTCAATAAAACAGTAAAAATCTAATTTTTAAAATCGAAAATGATCTGTAACATACAATCGACCAGCGTGTGATAGTTCAGAAGTTGCTTCTCTTGCTTCCCGAAGAGTGGGCGCCGTAACCCTCAGCTCCTCATTCGATTGTGACGAAGAAGCCATCAGTGGCACGTCCATCGCTGTCAATGAGTGGGTGGACACAGCAGCAACCGAGACCGGGTGGTTCTCTACTGTGAGCTGTCGGCCACCTCCATTCATGAGCAATGTCCTAGTCACCTTCGCCGCGGCCTTCATCGCTCCTGCCATAGCTTATTACTAGTATTTTTCTCGATAAAAGACTCTGAATTTATACTAAACAATGGGTTGGGTAACAAGTAACGTGATAGAGCGTGGACAGTGAAACAAAAATTATATGATATCAATTTTTTAATTCACAAAATTGATTGATTTGTACTTTCTTTTTTCATTGGCAAAGTCTCCATTTTTTTAATAAGCCGTCGATCTCGACCATTTAAAATAAGGGAAGAAGGTGGAGTTAAAGGATTGGAGAATTGAGAGAAATGGAGAGAAAGAAAGCAAAAGTATGAGACTCCCCATTTATTATAAGAAAGCAAAAGTATGGGTGGCACTTGATAGTGGAGAGAAAGAAAGCAAAAGTATGGGTGGCACTTGGTAGTGGAACTTGGTAGTGGAGAGAAAGAAAGCAAAAGTATGGGTGGCACTTGGTATTGGAGAGAAAGAAAGCAAAAAAATAGTGAAGGAAAGATCAAAATAAATTCCAACCTAAACAATAACCAGCTAGCTAGTCCCACAATCAAAATCAAAGATGTTTGATTCTACTGTTGAACTCACCAAAGAGTCAAAAGACTTTTAGATTAAGTAATCAAAGTAATAAATCTTTCAATTACAATTAAATACTTGCAATCGAAGCATCAATTTTGAATAACATACCGTCTAGAGAGAACGGGGTGGGGTGGGGGGGGGGATATTTGCTTCTTTAATTCTGATGATCTTCTCTATTTTGCGCACATAATTGAACATAGTTCCTTTTTCTTTTTCTTTTTCTTTTTTTTTCATGGTTTATGCATGTCTATATATATAATAATTGATACTTGTGTTTTTGTTAATGACTAGTGGGATGAACGTGCGTAGCACATTAGTCGGGAAATGTTAAAACTAAGTGTATATAAAATTTAGAAGAATTCATTCGTATGTGAAATGTATTTATAAGTTGTTAAAATTGACAATTATTTC